TCAGTTACCGGAAAATTCGAGGATGAAGGATATTTTCAGGTTGAGATATTGTTATGGTTAATTTCGAAACTTTGAGAACAGTTTCCGTTACCGAAAAATTGCGGGATGAGGATTTTTTACGGCTTTGAAATTACGTCTGTTACCCAAAATCTAATTCTAGGCTCTGCACCAATTGTTCCGGCTAACAAGTATATCACATACGAGTGTGTTGTGTGTGCACCATGTGATAATGCGTATGTGTGAGGCTAGCATCAACCAGAAATGCAGGCAACAGGGGTGCTGGAAGGTGGAGGACGGCTATGCTGTTACCAGTGTGTTGCATGTGTGTGTTGAGGGTGTGAGTTGCAGGTGAGCTGCGTTAATGATAAGAATTATCTGGGGGTTAGCACTTTTTTTCTCTCAGCACATGAGGACAGTGCTGTCACTTAAGGGGAGTCGATTGTGATATCCTGAAATTTTAAAACAAAAATTACAGATATGACGAACAGAGAAAACATAATATGGCAGTCATTAGCACTCATACCGCATGGCATGTTTAAACAAAAGCACTGGCACCCAAGCAGAGGAATCAGGAACTAACCAGCTGGAGCCACAAAGGCATAAGAAAATTAAATGTACTTTATCAAATTAATTCACACACTGTTGACAAAGTTAAAAGCCAGCTGTACTATTAACAAGTTACCTTGCCAGTTTTTCATTTCAAAATATGTTACGTGTCCTTAGGTAATACAGGTACTCCTCGACTTCTGACCGCGCTACGACAACCCGGACATACGACGCCCGTAGTCGTATAAAATAATTTACAAATTACAGTGACCCCCGCTTAACTAACACCTCTGTTAACGTAATTTCGATTAACGAACTGCCTTCCATAAGGATCTTCAATTCGGTTAACGAAAAAAAATTCGCTTAACGAACTTCTTACGAACCGACCTCAACATGTTTTCGCTTGCACTGACCGGGCAACCAGCTTTAGTATCAGTCCGCCAATACATTAATCGGTTCTAGGGCTTAAATTCCTTACTATTTTTGTAAATATCAAGAAGTTTATACTATTCAATAATTTTAAAAGTTTAATATTCAATTTTTAAGTCATTTTAACAATTATTGAACGAAATTGAAGGTAAAGTGACTAGTTTAATGCGCGGCATCCAGCCTCTTAACACAGCAAACAGGCGTCAGTCTCTCTCTGTTTTCACTGGAGGTAACATCTTGCTTGAGACTCTCTTCAACTAAATGCTTTTTTCTGTGTTTCCAAGCAAATTATTGGTCATTTTGAAATATATTTTATATATTGACAATATATAATGCAGTGCAGCATTGATTTAAAGAAAATAATCTTGAATTAAACCAGAGAGCTAAAATTTTATGGGTGAAATGGCACCATGGGGTGACTTCTCTTCCACCCCAATGCCTTCTCTTCTTCTTTCTCCTCCACCCCCATTCTAAATCCCATCATCATCATCATCATCCAGGAGCCTTCTACATACACACCTCAAAGTAAGTGAACTTTTCTACCATTTTTGTTGAATTTAGGAAATTTTCGGTGAGCTGGAACCAATTACCCAAAAACCCATTGAAACAATGAGCCTCGTTAACTAACGCTTTCGTTAACGAACGACCTTCTGAACGATTTCGTTAACCGAGGGGCCATTGCACGATTGCATCAAACGTTTCCGTCCCGTATGACAGCGTGGGCTGGGCCGCCTCGTGGTGTACAGCATCCACGCCATAGCCCGCTCAGTTGGTGTTTGGCCGTCGTTGTTGTTAGTGATCGCGCTGTGTACTGACAAAATTTTCGTTTCTAATTCCCTTTAAAATGGCTGGCAAGTGTAAAAGTGAGAGTTCACATGGTGCTGATAAGAATAGGAGTCAATTACTTTTGAGATGAAAATTAAAATAATAATGCAATATGAAAATGGAAAAACGGTAGCAACCATTTCATGCAACCTTGGCTTCTCTCACTCGATAATATCAAAAATTTTGAAGGACAAGGCAGAGGCATTTGCTACTATTAATAAGGGGATGCAAATGTTTGAAGAAATGGATCAAAATGTTGAGCGTGTTGCAAAAGTTGACAGACTGATCCAAGATGCACATGCTTGCTACAGGGAGATTTACAATGAAAAGAAAAGGCAAAGTAAGCAGTCTAAATTGGACATGTATTTTTAAGAAGTCCCCCACTGCTCTCTCCTCACGCCTCTTCACTCCCTAAAGATGATCCAATGCCTTCAACAAGCAAATATGTTAGCCTGTCTGAAGAAAGCGAAATTGATGACCCACCCAGCCCTTCTCCTCCTCTGCTTCATCCAATTAATGTAGTCTCCATGTTTAATTAAAAAATTATTGAGGCCCCATGTGGATTCAGCTGACTACATTAAAGGTAAGTGCACAGTAACACTTTATTCATTTTTCATTATTGATTACTTTTACTGTACCGTATTAAATTTTAGATTTTCTATGTATTATTTTTGCCTTTTCGACTTACAACCAATTCGACTTGCGACCTGGTCGTCGGTCCGGAACCCCGTCGTAAGTCGAGGAGAGACTGTAATTAAATACAAAAAAGAATGGCGTCATGCGTTCACGAATTATTAACATAATTACCGGAATGCCGTGGACAAAGTTCGTGTCCAGAATTAAAAACATAAATAATTATTAAAATATGGCTTATCTTTCCCTAAATTAATATAGGACAATCAGGAGGCGTGCACTAGTGACTTTTGGCTGTTCACTCGTGGCAAGCAGACGGGTCTCCACTCGCTCGCCAACATAACGTCCGACGTGGCCACATTACTTGTAGGCATTTTCAACCGTGCTCAGAAGAAAGTCCAGTTCAATTGCATACAAGGTTTAGATAGAACGGGGAAGGGAAAAATCAGTGTTTTAATGGGGACATCAATTTCAGGGTTTTTCTGATGGACCCTCATGGGATGGCTGTGAGCATGGTGCTGGTAACGAGAGGCAGCTCGCTGTAGGTGGGAGTACTCAAGGGGTCCCAAGCGGAAGCACCAGACACATGGAAGACCTGGTTTTCACCCAGATCTCCCAGGATACAGACAGATGTGTGCCACCTCTGAGATTGGCACCAAGCCGACACTACACGACACCACAGCTAAGAGTGTACACAGTAAAGCCTCCAATAACAACGGTTCTACTGACGAAGATTCATATCTAAGAACCTGGTTAATTTAGGACCCAATTCAATTTATGCCATTATTTTCTTTGTATTTACGACAAAATTAAAAAAAATATTACATTTTCGGATAAATAATAACTTGGTTGCAATCTTTGGTCTTTGTGCAGTATGGTGAATTAAGAAGAAATACTTTTTTAGTGGTTAATAAAAATTTGTGGGACTTTCAGACCACTATGCTATGTTATGGATATGTGCGCTGAGGAGCTACTGAATTAAGGCTCCGTCGGGTTGTGTTTTAATGGGTGTCAGTGGGCTTAAACACAGGTGAGCGCAACCCTTGACCTCAGCAACTCCTGAGGGGGGTGAGCTCACATTGGAACCAGGTTCTTATATTTCTATGCTGATGATAGGAGTGTCTAGCGATGTATGATGTGTTGAGGGATAAATTCAAATTAATTGTTGTCTCTCGTGCAAGTAATATTTGTTTAGTGTTGTAAGGGTGGGGCTGTTGATTAAGACAAGTGTCATATCATTAACAGGGTGTCTCTTTAACCCCAATCTCAAGAACACCAGTCAAGGTCACGGTAAATACTTTATTAATTTTGTTTGTGCTGATTCGGTATTCTGAGGGGCCCTTCCACTGCATTACCATCCATTTAAAGAAAACACCAATAGGAATTCCGGGGTGCTGGTGGTAGAGCGGTACCGCTCTTGCCTCGCAAGCAAGTTGTCACGGGTTCGATTCCCGGACCGGCGGAAGTTGTTTGTTCACTTCCTAGTCCTCTTGGTCCCTGTTCACCTAGCAGCAAAGTAGGTACCTGCTGTAAGTCGAAAGTTGCAAATTTGTATTCAGGGACAATTTGTTGGAGCTTCCAATAACTTGCTTAGACATAAACCATTGACTCTTCAGGCTTCTATGTCCTTAACACATGAGACATCAGGCAGCATGACTTAGCATGCTTCCCTATTGGGCGCTGTAAATGCTTCTGCGGTTCACCTCACACAAGGATGTAGGGGGGAGGTGCCAAAAAAAAAATAAAAATCCTATCGGAGATTATATATATATATATATATATATATATATATATATATATATATATATATATATATATATATATATATATATATATATATATATATATATATATATTATATATATATATATATATTTGAAAAATAACCATAATATAGGTCACAGCTAAATGTTATTCCCTCTATGTTTTGACCTTATTAACTTTTTTTTGCACATTCTGTATGAACGATTGTGTGCATGTACATCTACCCAAAATTATGAGTTGAACTTTAACATGGCTCACAGCTCAGCCTCACCCGCTCTGAGTGCTACACAATTACATGCCATCTCCACAGATTTTATTCCTCGTTATCACTCATTTAGGATGTTGTTCCTCGTTATCACTCATTTAGGATGTTGTTCCTCATTATCACTCATTTAGGATGTTGTTCCTCATTATCACTCATTTAGGATGTTATTCCTCGTTATCACTCATTTAGGATGTTGTTCCTCATTATCACTCATTTAGGATGTTGTTCCTCGTTATCACTCATTTAGGATGTTGTTCCTCATTATCACTCATTTAGGATGTTGTTCCTCATTATCACTCATTTAGGATGTTATTCCTCGTTATCACTCATTTAGGATGTTGTTCCTCATTATCACTCATTTAGGAAGTTATTCCTCGATATCACTCACTTAGGATGTTATTCCTCGTTATCACTCATTTAGGATGTTATTCCTCGTTACCACCCATTTAGAATGTTATTCCTCGTTATCACCCATTTAGGATGTTATTTCCCGTTATCCCTCAATTAGGATATTCTTCCTTCCTTAGTGATAATTTTGCTGAACGTTAGGTTTTTCAGAAATGCTTCCTTGTCATTAAACGAAGGATACCTGTACAATAATTGTACGCCCAAGTACGATAATATAATTCCTGAGCACAATTACTTAAACATAGCAAGATCATACATCCTTTATGATTAGTTAAATAACTTGGCAGTAAAATTTTTTAAATTTCCTAAAACAGTCACTCAAATAAGGAGAAAGTGGTAATTGTATAGTCACTTACCAGCTTGTGGACCTGTGGGCGGCTGGCTGGCATTAGGCTGGGGCTGGCTGGTTGGTGGGCCACTATTCTGGGTATTTTGGTTCTGCTGTCCACCATAGTACTGAGAATAGTAAGCTGCCCAAGCAGCAGCGTTTGCATCAGCCGCTTGTTTGGCTGCAATAATACAAGTAGTGCAATTTTAGTTCATAACTGTTTGACAGTACAGTAAACCCTCACTAATTCCAACTTCACTATTTCGAATTTCAGAACAATTTGAACAATCACGAAGTTCAAATTTCCGATACTATGCCGAACGTTTAAAACTTCTCGTGTGGTACCTGCGTGCGACTTCCATCCACAGGATGGGTACACGAATGTGCAGTTCTAAGAACAAGGTAATGTATAAACATATACAATATTTCTTTAATCTTTTAAGTACTGTATAGTACTGGTATATACTGTACTAGAATGTAATTAAGTTTATTTTATTCATGAAAATTTCACTTGTTTTAATTAAAGTGATACTGGGTGAGAGGCCTCACGGATTGATTCAGTTCTAGTATTGCCAAACAACATTAAAGCACGAGAAGAAAATTACCAAATTCATAACAAATAACTTAATAAATACGAGGGTCATTCAATAAGTAACGACACTTTGATATAGACGATGAATGCTCCACTTGAAGTTTGTACTTTGAAAGTACAGTACAACAATCTGTTATTCGTTTTTTTAAATTCGGCAGGTATAAAACCAAGTGAAGTTCATCGCAGAATGTCACTTCAATAGGGAGGCAATTGCATCAGACGAGCGAACATTTATGAGTGGGTTGAGCAATTCAAGAAAGGTCGAACAAGCATTGTGGATAAGATTGCGCTGGACGCCTGCCAAAGTTTCAATATCCACATTGCACCAGAACATCGAGTGGAAAATTTTGGTTGGGAATTTGCTGCACCCTGCACACAGTCCAGATCTCGCACTATCAGACTACCACATGTTTGGTTTGCTCAAAACAGCTTTTTGTGGAAAGCATTTTTCGAATAATGAAGAGGAGAAGAAAGAAATCCAAAATTAGTTGCCAAGTCAGCCAAAAGAATTTTCCGCCACAGGAATTAGAAAATTCGTGGAAAGATGGAAAGTGCACACCTGTAGAGGTATATAATGTGGAAAAATAGGTATGTGATCATCAATAATACACCATTACTTCTGCAGTTATATTCACTTGTCTTGTTACTTATTGAATGATCCTCGTATGTCAACACATGAATTTGTAATCTTCTACTTCATTTAGCAAAAACTGTCACAGATGAAGTACAGTAGTAGGTAGAAAATCAACCTGGGATCAAAGGGTTGTTCCTTGCATCTACACCACAGCATCATTATACATCATGCAGTGTGTGGATATACAGCACACTTCCTGTGACAGACACTTGGCTAAATGACATTATTGTGTACAGTGATTATAAAGAAAATAGGAAGAAAAGTGTGGGGTGAAGGTGGCACGTAGTTTAGCATCGGTGCCCAATGTATACGTATTAGGTGTTACAACTTTTTCTTCCGTTAATCCCACCATGTTCATACTAATGTACAGTCGAAGAAAAAAATCGCATTACGCTTACCGTGCCTTTTGTTGTGAAACCCAAATTCCTCCTCATGGATTCCGGAGCATAACACTGAGGTTAGGGGGTGAAACACGACTTTTTTCATCGACTGTACTTTGTACAACAATCATCCTTAATGATTCGATTATCATATACAACCAATTGTTTAGTTTTACTGTATATAGTCAGCCCCAATTTTATGTGCATGGTTTCTCTTGTAAAGTCAATTGTGACCCTTTACTTTTTGTATAAGTGGATTCACTTATACATGGCTCAGCATATTCGTCACCAGTAGCGGGCAAGTAAGAAAGCATTTGTGATTAATCACAGCAACAAAGTAGTTATTGCATTTATCTATTTGTAACAATTACAGCAGTGTATTTCTTTTTTAGCAACCACTAATTAAACTTGTAATTTTAACATAGTACCACTTTTTATTTTTGTACAAAAGCTGTGCAGGACTATATTTTACACCATGTCATTCACACAACAGTGACAAGCACTTACATGAGCTGCTGGTACCACACTCCAGCAAATTCTGAGTGGCAACTTGTATTAGGAGTAGTGAATCATAAATGTGCTGTATATTTTATTTAAAATTTAAAACAGCAATTAGATTATTAATCCCTCAAACCTATTTAGTTAATTAAGTACATGTAAACAATTAAAAGCAATAAATGATTAATACAGAATAATTAAAATTTCATACAGTATTTAGGATTACTTTCTGAAAATTTTTACTTTTATTCTGTTGCTTTACTCTTTGGAGACAGTAATTTTATTTATACAGTATGTACTTTATTACATTATTAGGCAAGACGTGCTACTTTTACTTGATTACAAATTCTTAGTAATTTGACCACAACTGGTCATCACGTAAGTATGAGTATTGCAACTCCCGTGACCCACAATTTCCCCTACCCGCTGCCTTATGCCTATTGCGGGTAGTCTGTTGTCTGCTTATAAATAAATAAATGCTATGCTATCTCGTTGCCTTAACCTGAAATTTATCGCCCTTATTGTTTACCATGAGTTCATATAGGAAAGCAAATAGCTAAAAAATTGGTGTGTGTGTGTGCAAGTATGTGTGTAAGTGTGTGCGTGTGTGAAGAAGCAGAAAAAAGCATTGACTTCCGTTCAGAAAGTGGAGTTGCTGGACATACTTGTTAAGGGTGAAGGTTCATCATCTGTCGCTAGAGCTTAGGGCCACACAAGTGACTAGCACCAGTTTATTTACCACCACTGCCCCTACCACCACCACCACCACCACCGCTGCCTCCTTCACGTTCTTTTGCAAACGTGACATCACCGCTGCTGCCGCACCCTCCTCCAGTTCCGTTCCACATTCCCCTGCCTCCCCAGACGAATCCTCGAACTTCTGACTTCAACACTAACATTATCATCATAATCAAAGGTTAGTAATAAATTTAAATACACGTATTTTTCCCCCATAGACTTAAGGTTTCCATTTGCACAATATTTTTGAGGAACGTATCCACCGCTTAATTGAGGACCAACTGTGAGGGCCGATTGTAAGCACAAATGGAGAAAAACATGTCACTTGCATGATATAACTACACCTTTGATTAAGTTTAGTCTTTGCAATGTGGTAATATGGGTCTCCTAGGCCTGGGGGCTAAGTAGGATAACCACAGAATCCAACACACTGAAGACTAAGCCTTGAACACAAGGAGACAGTGTGGTTGGCACTCCACTCAACATCCCTGCCTGTAAAATTGGTTACCCACTCACAGTTGGATGAAACAGTAGTGCTGTGGTTGCATTCCAATGACCTTTGGGACAGAAGGCGAGTGCTCTATCTCCTTGGCTGTCACATCCTTATTCTTCATGTAGCCTTACCATATTTATTATGTACTGTATAGTATTTATGAAAGATTTATTTCAATATGATCTATAGTGTATATATTTATATGCATCTTGGGTTTTTAAAATATCAACTGCTGGGGTGAAGGTAGCAGTGCTCAATAAAAACCTTTTCACCCAAATTCTCGGCGAATTTCAACCCATTCTTAATTGAATTAGTGAGGCTTCACTGTACTAACCTCTAAATATAAAACTATCCTGTGGCCAATCTACTGAAGTTTTTCTTCCTCCAGTAAGATATTTACATAAGCAAACTATACCTAAATTAGTCCAATGATTGGTTAGTAATAATGATCTTAATGTAAAGTTTGTGAGAGAGAGAGAGAGAGAGAGAGAGAGAGAGAGAGAGAGAGAGAGAGAGAGAGAGAGAGAGAGAGAGAGAGAGAGAGAGAGAGAGAGAGAGAGAGAGAGAGAGAGAGAGAGAGAGAGAGAGAGAGAGAGAGAGAGAGAGAGAGAGAGAGAGAGAGAGAGAGAGAGAGAGAGAGAGAGAGAGAGAGAGAGAGAGAGAGAGAGAGAGAGAGAGAGAGAGAGAGAGAGAGAGAGAGAGAGAGAGAGAGAGAGAGAGAGAGAGAGAGAGAGAGAGAGAGAGAGAGAGAGAGAGAGAGAGAGAGAGAGAGAGAGAGAGAGAGAGAGAGAGAGAGAGAGAGAGAGAGAGAGAGAGAGAGAGAGAGAGAGAGAGAGAGAGAGAGAGAGAGAGAGAGAGAGAGAGAGAGAGAGAGAGAGAGAGAGAGAGAGAGAGAGAGAGAGAGAGAGAGAGAGAGAGAGAGAGAGAGAGAGAGAGAGAGAGAGAGAGAGAGAGAGAGAGAGAGAGAGAGAGAGAGAGAGAGAGAGAGAGAGAGAGAGAGAGAGAGAGAGAGAGAGAGAGAGAGAGAGAGAGAGAGAGAGAGAGAGAGAGAGAGAGAGAGAGAGAGAGAGAGAGAGAGAGAGAGAGAGAGAGAGAGAGAGAGAGAGAGAGAGAGAGAGAGAGAGAGAGAGAGAGAGAGAGAGAGAGAGAGAGAGAGAGAGAGAGAGAGAGAGAGAGAGAGAGAGAGAGAGAGAGAGAGAGAGAGAGAGAGAGAGAGAGAGAGAGAGAGAGAGAGAGAGAGAGAGAGAGAGAGAGAGAGAGAGAGAGAGAGAGAGAGAGAGAGAGAGAGAGAGAGAGAGAGAGAGAGAGAGAGAGAGAGAGAGAGAGAGAGAGAGAGAGAGAGAGAGAGAGAGAGAGAGAGAGAGAGAGAGAGAGAGAGAGAGAGAGAGAGAGAGAGAGAGAGAGAGAGAGAGAGAGAGAGAGAGAGAGAGAGACACACACTACTCTCCTCTGCATATGCTATACTGTATATTAAAAAAAAAAAGTGCACACTTCCACATCGAATAAGGCTTGCAATAACTTCTCACTTTGGTAACCTATCCAGCTTAAAAGTGAGATTGCTGAAAATTTATTCTGCCACTTTCAAACGTCATAACTTTGCATCTCACTGCACCACTATCAATTTCCCAGGCAGTTTTACCTATTAAACTACAACCTTCACACATACTTCTCTACTGCTCTATCTTTCACCTTAGGTTTTATGGATTAGGATTACCTTCTAGTACTTTTCTTTTGAATATTCCGTTTTTGACAACACTTCATACATTACAGTACTCACAAAAAATTTACTTTTAACAATCCAATACATAAAATTCATTATCTTTAATCTCCAATTTGCTTTTAGTTGCGAATGGAATATTAGTAACCATCACCTGAAGTTTCTAATTATATTGTTTAAAACCCACACCCATATTGGAAAGAGGACAGGTATCTTGCACATTCCACACTTTTAAAACTTCTTTTATTTTAATACCTATTCTCAGTGTCTAATACCTTTCTGGGTGACCAAAACTATCTCTTGGAATTTCCATTATCTAAAAACCCTGACACATTCCAAATTCACTTAAAACGTGTACAGTATATACCACATTTGCAGTATCCCTTTTACATGAAATTCAACAGTTTAACATAGACAAATTTCATCACGTTATCTCCAGTCACGGCCGAGAAACTGCGCTCACTACATCTCTCACTCCAGGTAAGTTTCTTTAGAAACATTCAAGATCTTGGCCGACGCAAAAGACATAAGCAGGATTTGTCAATATGATTTGCCTTGGCTTTAAAGTTACAGTACCAATGCACATCATAAAGGGGAACCTTCTTTATGCAATTCCTTTTTTCATCCAAAGGAATCTCTTACTAAGCAATAATTAGTCAACACATTTCCAAATTTTTTGCAACTTCTTTCCCTATATCTGTCCCCAATAGATTAGACACTGAACACTTGATGATCTATTCCCCTTTTTCTAGCACTTTTATTTCCTTATATAAATTTAATTTGAAATAGAAATTTATTATCTATTCCTTTGGTACAAATTCAAATCACTTTCCCCCTTCACTCTGTACCTTCTTGATCAATATCCATGCATCCTGGTATTCCAAATTTCATAAACATTAGTTATATTCTCTCTAGTCCAATGTTGTCTTCTTAACATGCATTTGTTCTCTTATATAACCGAGGCATACACTTACTCTTCTACAGTCCTCACATAACTTCCTTTCAGTTTTAAGACTAACTCCCAAGGAACACTTCCTGATCTATTATATGATCAAAGTCTGATTAGTTTAGTATATCATTCACACAAATGCTAGGGAATGAAATGCTAAATACCCACATGCTGTAAGGAGATGAGATAAAAGACTTAACTATGATGATACAGGGAGAGAATTTTCTGAGACTACAACCAATAAAATTGGAATACTTATACTCACTAGGGTCGTTAGGATGTCCTTGGTTCCACTGTTGATATGCATTACCCCATCCCTGTGGTGCAAGATTACTGGTTCCATTTTGACCAGGACCACCCCCACCCTGTCAACATGTTGTACAATTAATTCAAATGTCAACTTCTTGTTAACAGTATCAAGTGTTCAGTTTTTTGGGTGATATATTTCTAAATTTAACTAATAAAATGACCATCAGGAATAAGTGGGTAATTACTCTGGACCTCATGCACAAAATGCAAGAAAAACTTTCTCTACTGGATAAATTGACTTGGACAGGGAATTATTGCTATAGTATGGTCAACATTTCAACACTGTTCAATAAACTTACCATGCCTGCTTTTTCTGCAATCATTTTTTTAGCATTGTCTATCTGCTCTGGAGTACCGCGGATGATAAATGTTTTTTCACTAGGATTGCTGGGGGGTCTTCGATCAAGTTCACAATGGGCACCTGTTTGTTGATTGATAGTTCGGATGGTTTCTCCTCCTGTCAGAGGAAAACCTTATCGACTGTTCAATCGTGTAATGCTACGCTATTCTAAAAATAAGGCAAGTCATTTTCCAATCAGGAGATGTGGGTATCAAATTAAAGTAATGGCTCTTGAGCAACATATTCCATTCCCAACTAAATGTTATAGATCAGCAGAACCATAACAAATGACACTAGTATACTGTACAGCAATACAGAATGATGGAAAAAAAAACAAGGCATTTTCAATTCACCAACTTTGAGTGAATCAACACTTCTGCCTTACCAAAACACTTTGAATATACTGTACAGTAATTCACTTCTGTCTCCACAAACAACACTATTTTACTTGAATACAAAGTTTCTCTCCATTTAAACCCTCAATACAGTACTGAAAACTGCCTATCTCCTTTCACAACTAACCAAAATTTTCTCCTCTTACATACTTCATCAATGACTTCAATTTTAATTATCTAACACAGCAAATATAACAAGGTCAATTGCTGACTACAATTTCAAATCTGGGCAATTGTAATCAACTTCATCCTCAACTCATTTAACAATGCTCCTCTTGTGTACTGTTCCATTCATAACAAGCTAATCACAAAGGCACAGCTTAATGGTTGTCCCTAGCCAGACATGGGGTCAATTATAATCCTAATCAAATAATCTTTCTGATAATGTCTTAAATCACCATTAAAATTCTTAAGTTATAACCATAATGAAATCAGGATGTTTAAAATGTAATTATCATACACATTAACAAAATTATAAAGGATTCCAGTGCAATTATGATTAGTTTCCAGGATTTTTCATTTTGCCTAAACTCTATACTCTATGCTTAACCTGATAGTGTGGTACTGGAGTATAATGATTGCCACAGACATGTACCAGACTGTACGTGACCAGAAAACTTCTGCCTGCCCAAACAGTCAACCTTCACCTCACCGAACAACTCAGTTCTGCCAGTCATGGATGCATAATAGTGGATCTCTGGACAAGTAGATATATGCATTGAAACATTGGAATTACATGCTACTTGACTAAAGATTTCAAACTCCAATCTGCAGGAGGTTTAAAGGGTCTCTCACTGCACAGAAGATATCCTCACTATACAGTAGTAAAACAGTGCCAGTAACATGTTAAAACCATTTGTGACTATTCCTGGATTGATTGAGGATGCTAAAAATGTTGATGACAGTGATAATGAAGGTAAGTATACACAGCTGGCATTCCTGCAGACAGGAACCATGTTTTGGAGCATTTGCCTTAGCATGATTAACATTTTCTCCACAACTTACAAAATGTTGAGGAAACCGACTCTATATCCACCACCAGATGGAATTGCAGCAACAGGATGCACCATTCAGTTCTTAACATTGACCCTAAAATGCTGGACCAGTTGGACTACCCTGGCAGGCTCAACAAGTACAAACTTTACATTGTGAAATGTCACAAAAATCCTCTCAACCTTTGACATAGCAACTGCAAAGTGCCAAGGAGATTGGTGTGCCATGAAAACCTTTCTTGTTTCATAAGTTGCAAAACTTGCCTTCTGTGTCCACCCCCAAGACCGAGACGTCTGAACCACCAAAGAAAAAGTACTGTACGAGCTCTTCTGATTCATGGCCCCATCGAACAGCCCTGCACTATCGTCAACCCAATCCCAAGTAACCTTATCTGTGGCAACAACATTTGGAAATGAAACTGACCCCCTTCTCTACTGGTAACACAACCAAGCAACCTTTCTAGAGCTCACTACACTTGCTATCCACTGATGACCATATCAGCATCTTTAACCCAGTAGATACTTCTCTCCAATGGTACACTGCCAGATGCCCACTTTGATGAGCTCCTGTTTCTCAAATGTAATAATCATATCAACTACTGACTGTAGATTTGCTCACTCCTAATTCAATGTATAGATTGCATGATTATAATTCAGAATAAAATATAGTAGTGTATATATCATTACATTCTTCCACAAACATAAAACAAAAAATGAGGAACATACCCTGCAGCTACTCATATTTAAATCATAATCAAATACTGTATGGTAATCACAAACGATTGATATTTATAAAGCTCTGTAATCATCAAATCATGGAGATTTTTCACAGCTCATATCTATCAAAATTTTGTCAGGTCTGTACTGTAATCATAACCAAATGGTGTAATCGACCCCATGTCTGAAACCTTATAAGTAAACCTCAGTTAACCATATTCACATCTTCGACAAAGGAGAATACTTACCTTTACCAATTACTAGACCACACTTGTTTGCAGGTACATTAAAGAAGGCCTCTACTTTATCATTTGGTCCACCCCGACCACCGCTGCCACCTCCACCCCCGCCGCCACCCATTGGTCCTCCCATAGGTCCACCACGACCCACTGAAATAATTTAGCATTTCTTTAAAGTCTTATGCCTTGTAAATCAAAGTATGATATTTCACAATTTCAATTTCACCATATTCAAATTTAACAATACAATACACAAGAGTTCAATGACAGTGGTAAGATTCTACAAGGAATATTCCACCTTAAAACCAGGTCTTTTTTTCCTGATATATGCATGCACATACAATGTACATGTTGAATATGAATGTCACAGAAATAAAGCTTAAAACATTACATCCGATTTATGCCATGTAATACATACTGTAATGTCCAAACAAATGTTTATGTATTTCCTTCAAAGACCAATATGTTACCAGCCTTTAACACCATTCTACAGACACTTACACATCGACAATGAAATACTAGTTCTGCATGATAACACTACAATACACCTTAAATTGGAAATTAATCTGTCAATTATGATGAATCACCACCTAGCAGTAAAGTTTTTAATGGCCATTCAAACTAGTGTAGTGCATATGACAATAAAAAACTTATGAGTGAACTTATGGAATAGAAATGGAATAGAAATAGAATATAATTGGAGTATCGTGGAAGAAACAAAAACACTTCAGAAAATAATTCAAAATACCTGCTCAATATGTAAATTATTGCACATATTAGTTTTGTAAATACTTTATAGCTGCTGACTTACCCATTCAAAAGATAAATCACCTCCTGACAATGGATCACACAAATCAACAGAAATATAACGAAGATTTAGAAGATGAAGTGCTTACACCTGTAACAAGATAGTCACTTGGGCATGAAATTCCATCCTGTAACTTACCAAAATCTAAAAAGACTTTAGCTGGACAAAAGCAAAATACTAGACTTGAATTTATATAAGTCCTTCCTGTGATACATCTACATCACCATGCTCAATTCTCAGATTCCTGAGAGCACAGACAGAAAGAAAGTATTCCCAAGACAGCATGAGATAATATGAATGATTAAGTGGATTTAAATGTTTGCCTAATTCAGGTTACAAAACTAAACTAAAAATCTGGACACTATCAAAAGTTGCAGCAACAGCTGTTTTCATAAAAAAAAATAAATAAATAAATACACAAGTAAATAAAATAAAAGCTGTGTGAAAAGAGGAATAATTTAATTTTAATCATTGGTAATGTTCAATCTAAAATTATAAAGACCTGTGATCAAGGATTAAAACCTTTGCATCGAGATATCCAATTGTGGTAGGTTACATGTTGGACAATTTTTTTAAGTTTGAATTAAATTTGTATCAACAAATAAATGATTCAGAATCAAAATACTTTATTGCAGGGGATAAGAAAGTGGATGGTGTAGTAGACTTGTAGCTCCTGCTTCATGTGGGTGAAGGCAAGGGACATCAAGAATTTGATGACTATCACAAGTCACTCCACGAGATCTTTTGAGGAATTATAATTCAGAAGATGGGATGACCTGACAGAAGGATGAGGCAAAGGGCAGCAACTGTGCACAAATGTTAAGAGAGCATAACATCAAGTAGTTTAGGAGATGTTACAGCAATATGATTGAATGGCTGATAGCAAATAAGTGTCTTGGGTTTCCCCATGGTTCATGTCACCCTGCAGGCAAGCAAGAAAGGAATTGCCAGATTTGAGCATTAAAAGGCAATACAGTACCATAACTTGTTAACACCTATATATTCTCATCATCACAAACTGCTGTAGGAGTATATGTCTTATGCACTTCATGTATTTACACAAGTCACAATGACTACAAAGGCAATTCATGTCCACATCTAGCTCATATTCTCACATGATAATGTACAGCAATTTCAAAACTCAATTCATTATTTACATTGTATATGCCATTTCCTGCATTTCAAGCAGCACAATAATAGTAGAATCTTCCTTATACACTTAACTTCATTAATTCACAAACAATCATATCAAAGTAATGAAGTATGTCTGCAGTGACTACTATATAGTATACTTACTCGGACCTCCAGGTCCCCCTGGTCCTCCCATACCTCCTGGCCCACCCGGTCCCCCAGGTCCACCTGGCCCACCAAAGCCACCACGACCCATGGGTCCACCTGGGGGACCACCTGGACCACCACGACCCCAATCATTATTAAACCCTCCACGGCCACCGCCGCGGCCTCCGCCGAAGCGATCCTGTTGAGGGTCGAAGTCGTTAGAGCCCTGCAGATTTTAAAAATTACCAAGTTTCAGTTTGGAGTATAGGTTGATGTGACAATTCAACATTAACGATTTTTCACTTCCATAGCAATTGTTTGTAGTCTTAACACTGTATATACCTTAAAACTATTTGTATTACAACCTGCATCTTGGAATATCAATAAATGATGAATGTCACATGCATTTCCTCTCATAATAATTATAAATACAATAAAAATTCAGTGGTATGACATACTTAATGCAACAAAATTTTACAAACATACAGACAACCACATTGGACAATAACTCGGCTGGATGTATGAGAGGAAGAAAAGAATAACTTTCATAAGAATACCTGGAGATACAGTACATCTTTGCATATATATATATATATATATATATATATATATATATATATATATATATAATATATATATATATATATATATATATATATATATATAATATATATATAATATATATATATATATATATATATATATATATATATAATATATATATATATATATATATATATATATATATATATATATATATATATATATATATATATATATATATATATATATATATATATATATAATATATATATATACATATATATATATATATAATATATATATATATATATATATATATAATATATATATAGTATATATATATATATAATATATATATATATATATATATATATATATATATAATATATATATATATATATATATATATATATATATATATATATATATATATATATATATATATATATATATATATATATATATATATATATATATATATATATATATATATATATATATATATATATATATAGTCTTACCACACACACTTACTCTTTCATCCCCCCCTCCAAACTCATCACGATCTCTGTCTCTGTCTCGGCGGTCTCTATCTCCTCTATCTCCTCTGTCACGGTCTCCTCTGCGTTCTCCAAAGTTCCCGCCACGCCCACGGCCTCGATTACCAAACTGTGCTGCCTGGGTTTCTTTTTCAGCTATAAGATCGTACACTAACTGCTTGGCCATCTCCACCTGTCACGAATAAATTATATTAGTTTGTCAAAATATAAATTCATCAGTCTACTTTGTGTATGTAAGAGAACATTGGTTGTATGTCTTAACCTTCTGGAATAGTTTCACCAGCAGTAACTTTTACCTTATGTGGTTCTCCGGTGATGCGCAGGGGCTTTTCATTTTCTTGTTGAGGACCGTCTTGTATAATAACCATCTTCGCACCAGACTTCTCCTGCAACTGCTTAATCGTTTCACCACCTTTCCCTAAAGTATATTTAAGAATTCATTACAAATATGTATGCATTTACTCAGTACACTTATGACACCAGTAAAAGCAAAATCAGAATTTTTTGAAGGACTTAAATGTTTATACAGGGATTGATCTATTCAGTACTTACCAATAATAAGTCCGACTTTAGGACCAGGAATGCTAATCTCTACGGTAGCAGCATTACCACCCATGTCCATCCCTGGAGGTCCCATTGGGCCGCCTCCACCACCACCCATTCCTCCACGACCCCTCCTATCAGGAGGGCCATCTCCACGAGATACAATTTCAAAGATCATTTCTTTTGCACGATTGATTGCTTCCCTGGAATAAAAATAAAAAATGTGAGCAGAGGATGAAAATTTGTTTTTACATTAGAGCATGAATGAACATAACCTGAAAACTGAATATGTATACAGTATGTGGATGTTAAAAATTCACTCATCATATGTTTAATAAAAATCTGACATGATCACCTTTGTTAAAATATTAAGTAGGATATCATAACTCCAAAAATAATGAAACCACTAATGGTTTATGTATTTTTTTTTAATTTTAACCAATGACCTTCAACCCCAAAAATGTTTAACACCCATCAATTAGTTTTTCAGCTGTAGAAAGTCACTTCTCACTACATGTGCAGACTTTGGGTGCTGATGGTCTTAGAAGATTTTCCAAAAAAAAAAAAAAATTAAATAATTTGATATGGCTCTTTAAAGTTCTGTCAAGACAAAATTAACCACAACTCCTTTCAGGTACAGACCCAGAGCAAAAGATTCTTATACAGTCAAAGATGGAGGGTGCAAAATCCACTGTCCTTCATTGCCCCCCTCAACTCACAAACAAGCACCTCGCAATTCAACAATCGAACTTTGACACTTCCACATCTCAATAAGATCCGGGAATGGATGTCAAGGTTTTGTTTAATAATTTCACGAAACAATTTACCCAATCAAGTTTTACAATATTTGACATAATAGGTTACATTATTATTAGATAATCATGACGTAGTGGAACGCGTGTTTTGGTGGCTGGGGGTCGCAATGATATCAGAATCCTCCCAGCTGTATTGTCCCTCAGAATGGTAGCCAGAAAACTAAGCATGAATGTGAGGGATAATACGGTTCATAAGAGAACACTATCACCCTCCCCACAATGGATAACACGATGGGAGTATAGCCGACATATGTACGACCAGATTAATATTAAAGTGTCAACACCACTGATTAAGGTTGGATGGAAAATAAAGTACAGTAAAAGCAGCATGACCATATTTATTGTTAGTTATACTCGTATAGGTAACCACTCTACATTTCTGTAAACATTAAATTAATCGGGTTAAACAATAATTCAAACGATCTATTCTTTAGATTACAGAAATTATGTGTAACACACAGTCCCCAAAATTATTAATTCAGTATACAATCCAGCCACCCTGCTTTTCAATGACAGCCTGTACCCTGCCCAGCATGGATGGTCTTGCACCAGCTCTGGTCTATCCCTGGAGTATTCCCCTTGTTAATGTGCACCATATTGTCAAATAGTGTAAAACTTAATTGGATAAACTTTCATGAATTTATTAAACAAAACAGTGACATCCTTTCCCAGTCCTTATTGAGATATGGAAATATCAGAGCTCAGTTGTTGAACTGCAAGGGTGCTAGTTTGTGTTGAGGGCAATGAAGGGACAGCAAACAGTGTGACCACTGCTCGAAATGTGTTGCTAGATCTTAAAAATTTTACCCAACCTTGAATGTTTGAAAGAATTTTTTGAAAACCTCTCATACATTGAAATTTCTTAAATATTTATTTTATTTTTTATTACTTCCATTTTACATTTAACAATCATAATTACTTAGATATGGCTGTTCTTTTGGCACTTAATTTGCCAAGTAATTTGGCATCTCTGGGCCCATGATTCGCCAATTTCGCACCTCTAAATAACGTGAATCACTTATTTTGAAAGAAATATTTGTAGTGATGGGTTGTCAGACCACAGCTTACATCTCAGAAACGGTCCAGACTTGACCCGACAATAGGGGGGTCAAGTGTAAGGGTAACCCTCGCGGCCACTCAAGGAGTTACAAATCAACTAGCTCCCCTTCCCATGTCACACGGCCCCAACAAACATGTAAGAAACCACCTGCCGACTCTCTCCCAATATACACAACTACAGTGCATCTCAGACAAGGTCCAGACCTAACCTCACATTAGCCAGGTCAAATGTAACCCTCGAGCCCAAGTCAAGGGGCCACAAATCAACCAGAGCCTCTCATGTCACACGGCCCCACCAACGATGTTAACAGACAAGCATTCATCTGAAGATTTCTCCAGAATATACAACAACTTATAGTCTCAGAAAAAGTCCAGACCTGACCCTACATTAGCGAGGGCAAACGTAAGGAGACCCCCGATCAGCTCAACCTGACGTCTCCCAATATATAGGACATCGTAACCCTCCCTCGAGAGAGAGAGACAGGGATCGGAGGAGGAGGTCCACCACAGCCCAGTCCCGCAAGACTTCCCTCCGGTGCCCAGCTAAGCAGTCTCCCATAGAGACAACCCAGGACCACCTGCTAGGCCTCCCCTAGGTCACGTGAGTTTTTGTCAGAGCTTTCCATGGGATGAGTTACTTACGTGGGAAGTGTATTCATTTCATGTTCGTGTCCGAGGATCAGTGTCTAGTAACGTAATATGATGTCCTAGTAACGTAAATATAGTGTCCTAGTAACTTCAATAGAAGGTGTTATTAATGTGTCCATGTCATGTTCGTAATTAATAAAGAGTTGTAACGAAGCGGTGTTTGAGAAGTCGCCCTTAAGACGTAATAGATGTGTGTTGACGCATAAGATAAGTGTAAGTCCAGTTCAAATAACTAACACGGCCACGCTACCAAAGTCTTCCTCTCTTTACATTTCTCTTACTATCAATATTCTACCTATATGTAATCTTCTTGTGAGTTTGTCTCATTATATATTAAATATATATTTTTAATTGTTGTGTCAAATAAAGAAAGTCTATCCTCTCTTAAATAAGTCTTACTTTCTAGACCAGTGAAATATGTGTTGATTGGCCTGGCACAGGCTGAGTCATGCACCTGCCCTCCCTCCCTCCACTCACCTTGGTCATTTACACAGTAACACTGGACTGCTTTTATAATTGTTTCAAGCATGGTACAACAAATTACTAGTACAGTACAACAAGTCTACTTGTTTAAATAAGTAAAATGTCTGCACACATGTATGCTCTTCATTTTTCTTATTTTATAGTTTTATATTATATTTTCTTTATTTCTAATCCATATTAGAGTAATGTAAGGATTTTTTTTAAATACGACAAGCGATAAACACGGTAATTGGGGAATGCTCGTGAAAATGCAGATTCGTGAAAAAGCCAACTTCTGAGCCACAAATTTGTGAGGTCAGACTGTGCATGCACCAAGACCCTAATCCTCAACTTGATAAACTTAAACAGTATTAACCTTGCTCTTTAACCCTTACGCCTGGGTGACGTTCCAGAACGCGCGCCTTTTCCCGGCACTGTTTAAATGCCCAACACGGGTTAACAGGTACCAACATGACCATTTTTCTCTCCCAGCACACGGAGGGGAGCGTGGGTAGTCCCAGGGCGGTCAGTAACCATTTGCCCGTGGTCATGGAGAGAAACCCCTCAAGCTCCTGTGTCCATTCACCCTGCCATCTTCCCCTCCAATAGAGCGTCGTCGCCACGGGTTGGATGATAGCGAGATACGGTCAGAACTATTTGATGTGAGTGCTGTACTGTGTGAATGTGGTAAAAGTGGTAATGATGGCAGTGATTATGAGCCTAGTGATCATGAGGATAGTGTCGAGTTAGACAATGTTTTAGAGACAAGTGAGGAAGACGCGGGCAAAGGGGCCCTGCCAGAACGGCATATCCCCGCAACGAGCTCACAACCCAGAAAGGAACAATGGATGCCTTTGTTTGGTCTAATGGCTGTAATTTCTAGCCTGATATCCCTGAATTCAGACGATCATCATGTGGAATTACTCCTGAATTTCCTTGTACAGAGGAATCACGTGATGGATTATTTTTGTGCTTTCTTTGATGGTGCAATCATGGACTTGCTGTGTACCGAGACAAATAAATTTTATCAGTACACATGTGACGCTGACCCCGGCCCCTCGCCACACATGCTTCGATGGAGTGATGTTGTTTCCGAACTACATGTGTTTTTTGCATTACTCATGCTGATGGCACATGTGAAAAAACATGTACTTCAGGAATATTGGATATCTCCTGATGACATCACAGCAACTCCATTGTTTTCAAAATTCATGTCCGAGAAAGGTTTGCCTCCATCCTACGTTATCTACACTTCGTAGATAACGACATTCCTGTGGCTGGTGACAGACTTTGGAAAATCGGGGCAGTTTTTACGATGCTGAAGGAACGTTTTACGAAGTTCTTCAGACCCTTTCAAAACCTAGTGGTAGACGAGTCTCTGGTGCTTTTCAGAGGATGTGTTGTTTTTAGACAATACATTCCCTCCAAACGACATCGCTTTGGGATCAAGTTCTTTGTGCTGTGTGATTGCTATACTGGGTATGTCTTAGATCTCATTGTTTACACAGTAAGCGATGTAGATATACCCAAGGACGACCCACGTGGTTTCTCTGGCGCTGTTGTCAAGAAACTAATAGACCGCTACTCTGGAGGGAATCGTGTAGTCTACATGGACAATTATTATACCTCTCCTGCCCTGGCCAAGTTCCTACTTGAACATGACACCGGTTCTTGTGGGACTGTATGCAAGAACAGGAAACACTGGCCTGTGTTTACTGGTAAACCTGCCCGAGGAGAGATCCAACTGAAGCAAGCAGACAAAATGCTTACAATACGCTGGCATGATAAGCGTACTGTGCAGATGCTGTCAACTGTTCACAAGGGTGAAATGGTTGACAGTGGAAAAGGGGACTGGACCACAGGAGAGGTCATGAAAACCCGACGCTGTCGTGGACTACAATTTCAACATGCGCCTCGTGGACAAGAGTGACATGCAGGTTGGTGCAATTTCAACGTGCAATTGAGTGTAAAGAAATGTCTCAAGTGGTACAAGAAGATGTTCCTACACCCCTTGGACATCACCATCCTGAATGCATACAACTTGTACTTATACAAAATGGGGAAAAAACCCTCTCTCGGGGTTTTCCAGAATCAAGTGATAATGCATCTCCTGGAGAAATATGGCACCATTGTGGCAGCCATACCACAACATCACAGTCAAGCAGGCCTACCTGTCAGACTGCTTTCATGTGACTGGGTTGTTCATCACCACCTGGGCAACCTACCGACTGCTCCAGGTGGTCGTAGGAGGCAAAGGCAATGTTATGTCTGCGCTAACACCAAAAAGCGCACAGCTAAGCATAAGGACGTGACAACGAGGTGCAAGGAGTGTAACGTTGGTCTCTGTAGACCTTGCTTCGTGGAGTACCACTCTAAGAAAACATTCTAAAACAATGTGGCACGTGCTTGTAAACAGTGTAAATAGTAGTGTTAAGTGTATTTGTAAGGAACAAAGTGTCATATTTGTGTAAAAGGTACACAGATGTATGCTTTCACTTGTCACTACCCACGAGCGCTGACGGACAGCTAGCTAGGTGTCACCACAACCTATCACCAACACCTACGTGCAGTCATAGGAAAGCTTCTTGGTAAGTACCTACATTTATTTGTTTGTTTATTTTACATTGTTTTTCCTTTTTATCATGTTGTATCAAAGTGATCTTACAAAATGTACTGTACAGTACAGTAGTTGTACTGTAGTATAACAGATAATGCTATGATTGTTATAAATGTATTTAGTTGTAGAATTATTAATCCGATAATTATTTATATGACTTGCTCTCCCAAACACAAAGACAACCAGACAGCCTGGCGCGCCAGACTGGGTGTGTTTCACCAAAGTTTTTATGAAAAATAATGCAAATAGAATAAATTTAAATGAATTATTTAAAGGAAATAAGTATTTTTATCAGTAAATATATGCATTATTAGCCATCTCAGACAAAAAAGATGGGAAAATGACCCCTAATGCAGTGACAGCGAGCTGCTCGCTATAAAAAAAATATTTCACTAGTCACTGAGGTGCCATGGAAGTTTCTAGAGGGACAATATATAGTTTTTCTTACATCTTTTTTATTGTTTTATCATTTACAAAGGTTACAAATTATTTTTGGAAAAACAGATTTTCTTCATTTTACCCCACGTGGGGGGTACGGTCGGCGGCACCCTAGCCAGGGACATAAGAGTTATATGATGAGAAACTTCATATACAGTACAGGAATCCCTCAATTAGTGGTAATTCACTTAACATTAATTCGCTTTTGCCATAAAGTTTTTTTAATACCTTTTCTACCTAACTATGGGTCAAAATTTGGTTTAGTGATAGCTTGACACTTGGAAAGGGGTAAAATTGGGGATGAGGTGACCTGTGAAATGGCATGTTACCATTGTTACATGTGATGTAGCTATTTTCTCTATTTGTCACATTAGAGCATTATTTTATGGTTGAAAATGGAGAAGTGAGGGGGGCTGAAAGGGCAAAAGAATAGGGGGGCAGGGGCCAATGAACAAGTACCTTTAATATGTAAAATACTATCACATACTGTACCACGGTTCAGTGGTTCCACGCGGGGTCCCCAGAACAAAGTAACTGCAAAACTCATGAGGCAACATTATATGAAAAGTTGCGGGCTGCAAACACATCCCCCCAATTACATTATATCGATTATTTAAATTGCCCAAATACTGTATTTTCAAATTCTTTACTCCACATCATGAAAAAGCTGGGTCAAACTTAACAAGGTTTCAAGTTTTCTATTTTTCCCATAACTAAAATCTCCACCCACCTTTTGAAAAGTCCTTTTACAATGCCTACATCAACTGTTGATTGAATGTAATTAGTCATCAAAACATCACAATTAACTACAGTATTCCGTTCCAGTCTTTAATGTACAATAAAATTTGCCTATCATCTATGCTGCCTCAGAGAACTGATTCCCAGGCCCATGTGCAGCAAATAGTGAAGAATAAACCTACCTTGGCCCAGAAATTGTGCATAACCGGTCAGGTAAACCCCCACTATCTTGTGCCATTTGAATCTTTGCTCCAGATTCCCGCTGTAACCGCGTGATCTGTTCTCCACCACGTCCAATAACTGGAAAGAAAAGTAAAGTTCAATGATACAATATTAGAAAGCATGCAACATGAAGAGGGGAAAACATGCAAACACAATTTATAGTCATCACCCACTGTTTTAACATTTCTCAACCTTTTTGATGCAATTGCTGCATCATATGCAATAATAATTTTCTCGCTCATACTTTTAATCTTATTGCTGGAAAGACTCATCCCATTTGATCAACTGGCGTGTAGGGAGACGGCCACAACATACAAATTATATTTATACCTGCCAGTGGCTTTATGACCATTTCTGCTAATCTGACCTGCCTATGACCAAGTCTGATAATTATCTGACCTGACTGACAATGTCATGTAAACTGGCTTGGCGATGATAATGTTTAAGCTCTTCTGTCAATTATTGTAAATTCACTTACTTATGAAGATGAAAAATGTGTGCAAATATATAACTATGTGTGCCTCTGATAACGAATCTACTTAAAGTGGGGAATTAATCCCAAAGAAATAATGGAAACACGTCAAATTGGAACCATGACATTGTACACAACACAGAATTTTTTTTATATCTTTTAACAATTACGAAACTAAATTTATAAGCTATATAAATCCTTAAAGTTCACTGGGGTCGGTGTGTTGAGGCAACGTAGGTTGTGCCAGCAACCCGATGGTCCGCAGCAACTGTTGCTGGTGTACACTCACTCCAGTGGTTCATTGAGACAAAATACTTATGTTTTAAAAATAAATAATTTTAACAAAATATTTTTATTTACTTAGCTTGATTGGATTAATGAAGGATTAGTAGGAGAATGAAAAAGAAAAAGGAGTAAGTGAATTGTCCACTCTCACTCGTCTTTCGCCTAATCGCTTCTAATTTTACATCTATTCTATAGTCTGCTTCCTTTTGAGTACTGCACCACCCTGTTTGGGTTGGGAACTCATGGCTTCAAAATTATAAAATAATTCACCACAACATGCACGAAAAGATGCAACAAAGGCAGGAGTAAACACAACACAGCACAGGTCTGGTACGGGGATACATGTGCGCATGCTTGACGCCAGGAAGTGGATGAAATTTCATACGTTTCAGCTAAAAATCCATAGATTTTATCGGGAGTTTTAAATCCGTAGATTTTATCTGGAGATTTCAGAGTTTTTGAGTGGAATCCACTTAAACATGGGGCCTTTTTACGTGGAAGGTCATAAAGTTGACCACTTGACTGCGAAACCGCGGATAGAGAATACAGTGCACCCTCAAAGATCTGGACTAAAAGGGGGGACCACCTGTCCGAATATTCCGGCGAATGTACTAAATGTATAAAAATTATAAATATTATCCTGACCACTGGGGTTAGTTATAGACTTTTTCCTGTGAAAAAGACATAATTTTAAGCAAGTTATTACTGTACTCACTTTGGACTCAAATGTACTACACTAGAGGACTAAAATTTTTATCTCCTGTGCAAACTAAGTGATGCTTATACTCAAATTATTCGCTATCTTGCAAGGATTCCAGCAGTGCAAGTTATATACTGCTAAGTTTAGTCTGACATTATATAAGATAAAAACTTAAGCCTAAAACTACCTTCACCAAGGCTGGGAGGAGGTATTGACCAGCCGGCAGCGAAGGTTACCTCGTGTTATTTATTTATCTGTCATATAGAGGATGTTTAAGTTTTTGCTAATAAAATGTCATTGAATTGACTTGGCAGAATATAACTTACAGTGCTGAAATTCTTGTAAGAGAGTGATTAATTTAAATATAAACATACTAAAGTTTACACTAGACCAAAATTTTAGTAATTATTAATTAAGTTGCGTACAGGTTTGCCCTTAGGACAATTATTTCTTTTACTTTCTTCACAATGTTTATGTAGGACAGTGTGAACATTTAAACGAGTAAAAATAAATGAAGAAAGTTACGTATATCTACCCCAAAAATAGAAGTTGAAAAACTGTACTTAAATGTACTACACTAGAGGATTAAAGTTTTTATCATTTGTGCAAACTATGAGGTGTTTATATTCAAATTATTCACTACCGGGTATCTTGCAATTATTCCAGCAATGCAAGTTATATTCTGCCAAGTTCAATCTGTGACATTTTATAAGATAGAAACTTTAAGCCTAAATCTACCTTCACCATTTTAGGAATGCTTCTTAGCCCAGAACCCCCAAATTTTTTGTCAGAATCTTCCAAAATTCGGATTTACGGGGTTGTAGCTCAGCACAAGAAGGATGTGCCCTCCATGTCAAAAGCTGTCTTCCTGAAATAAACTTAGAATCTACAGACAACGATGCCTTTCCTATTCCGTGAGCTTATTCGAGATAATTGTGTCAATTTTTTGTGATGACCGGGAAGTTTAAGTTTTGCAGGACCCCTGAATACTGAGATAAGGAACTGAAATTTTGCCTTTAGACATGTTTGGGGTTAAGGTATTTGGGCAAAATGTGTCTAAATTAAAATTCCAACTTTTAATTTTTGGACCACCCTCACCAATAGCTCTAATGTTTATAGCCGAGACAGATTTACTTTTTTGCATGGAAAAAGATTTAAAATATTACAAACAAATTTGTCCTTTCTCCTTTTTGGGCTTTTCATAAGAACGCATTTAACTTCTAAAGCAAAATTTTCTCTAAGTTGCTGGTTAATGTGTATAACTGACAGCATTACTGATGATTCAATAGGTCTCTGGACTGTTAAGAGGCAGAATGGCTGTAATGCAGGAATGGGCAGCCCGCAGCACGGACCACGTCTTTGTGCGGCCCGCGGAGTGACTGAGAAATTCTATTTAACGTGGCCCGTGGTTCAGGTAGATGAAGTTAGCCAGGAATCAACGATGATTTCATTGTCAATGAGGATCAACTAGCTCTTCAGTCAATGAAAGGGACAGAATTAAAATCAGCATTTGCTTCAAACTGAAATGGGAAAAACTGAGTGGTATTACAACTGATGGGGGCAAGGGCTATGGTAGGCTCCAATGTTGGCCTTGTTGTGCGGATTAAAGCAGAGATGTATGATCATGAATTGAATCCTGAAAAACTGAATGTATTTCATTGTATCATCCTAAAAGAAACTCTGTTCCAAGGCACTTAATTTTAAGCATGTCATTGACCCAGTCATTACTTACATCCACTTCATCAAACCTTGGGCTTTGAATCATCGGCAGTTCCGAGATTTCCTTAAAGATCTGGAATCAGAGAAGGAAGATCTCGTCTACTATTCAGATGTGTGCTGGCTCAGTGAAGGTTAAATGTTAAAAAAGATTTTACCATCTCAAAGAAGATGTGTCTACCTTCATGGAAATGGAAGGTAAGCCAGTTGGAATTAAATGATAACGACTGGCTGGCTGAATTGGCATTTCTCGTCGATATTACAACATCTCAAGGATTTGAACATCTTGTTACAGAAAAGAAATCAACTGATTCATGAGTAGTACAGCCACATCAAATATTTTCAAAACAAACTGCAATTGTGGCAGGCACAACTTCGAAGAGACGACACATTACCCTTTCCTACTCTCCTCGATATTTGTGGAAATTAATTCCCTGGGAAAGGTAATGAATTTGCTAGAAAACTTGATGTTTTGACCCAGGAATTCCAATCTCGTTTCAATGACTTCAAAACTAAAGAAACCAGCCTAAACATCTCTGCACCATTTCATGTTGATGACGCTTCAATTCACCAACAGATGGAAATGATCGAAATTCAAGAGGACCGGGTACCGAGTTAAATTGTAAGTCGTTCCAGAATTTTACAGCAAATATTTCCCAAGACACAAATATCTAGGTCTCACCAGCATCTACACTAAGGAAAGCCTCACTGTTTGCAGTATACATATTTATGTGAAAAAAAATTAAATCACACATGAAGCTTATAAAGTCCAATCACAGATCCAGACTAACAGACGAGCATCTGGAGTGCTGCCTAAGGGTTGCAACCTGTCATTCCTCCAGATTTTGAACGGTTATGTAGACACACCCAAACCAAGGTGTCCCACTATCTACTGTATGTCTAGTAGTACTGTCCTATCTCCTGTCTGACTATAAAAAGTTGAACAATATTGTAACCGAGTGTAAATAGCAAATTAAGTCCCGATGACTTATTAACTTATTTATTTTTTATTTATTTATTTTTTTTTACGGGACTCAGCCCACCCGGACACAGGTCACTGACCCACATCAGGGTCTGGAGGGCAAAAATATAATTATTATTATTATTATTATTATTATAATAATAATAATAATAATTAATAAAATAAACAAAAATTATAATAATAATAATGATAATAGTAATAATAATAAATAATAAAATAAATAAAAATTATAATAATAATCATACAAACTAAAAAATAAATCGAGTGTAAGAAACGACAGTATGTGGTTAAGAGAAACTATTTAAACCCTGCAATTGTGTGTAAATGAGTTAGAAAGTCAGATCAGCAACCTGGGACTAGGTAAAAATTTTTGGGATGCCATATAGCAGCAGGGTCTACCATTAGACAACTCATTATGCTTTCAACATCTTCCCAGGAGGCAGTACCTCCCTGTTTGATAGCGGCCGACTACCTATGTGTGTCTCACAAATTAGAACATATTGCGACTGTAAAATAAATTCATCTGCACCAAAATGTCTTAATAATTTTAACCTTGACTGCTATTATGTTACATGCATTATTTTATTATTACCAGTTTTTGGTCACCTGAAGTTGAAATACATTGTAAATGTAAATTTTTTAAGATACAAATATGCCTATAGGTTGTTTCACTGAAGTTTCCCATGCACCTAGATTAGCTTTAGCATTATTCTGGTGGGTGTCTCATAAATAAGACAAATACTGTAAATAAGAAAAATCAATATATTCAGTGTGTGCTTCACTTTTTTTTCTGTTAAATGCCAAGAAACATTAACATTTTACTTAAAAAATTATTACAATAGATTTGTTTCATAAATGAGAAAAAGACTGTGATTGTAAACTGAAAATATCGTAAGGTGGACATAACGCTAAACTGTTTCACT